AATCCCAGCGCTCGGGAGGCAGAGGCAGGCGGATCTCTGTGAGTTCAAGGCCAGCCTGGTCTACATAGTGAGTTCCAGGACAGCTGGGGCTATAGGGAGACCCTGCCTCAAAAAAAAAGACAAAAAAACAACAACAAAAAAACTTGTCATGGAGGCACACGCCTTGGAAGGCAGAGGCAGGTGGGTAGGCAGATCTCAAGAGGACAACTTACACTGCACAAGTAGGTTCTCTCTTACCATTTGGGTCCCAGGGATCCAATTCAGGTCATCAGGCTTGGCAGTAAGTACCTTTACCTGCTCTGCCATCAAGCTGGTCCTCTCCCCGATACCACCCTTTTTGAGACAAGGTCTTATGTATCCCAGGTTGGCCTCGAACTACTCAAAGATGACCTTCTGATCTTCCTGCCTCCACCTCCAGAGTACTGAAATTACAGGCATGTACTACCATGCCTCATTTTATGCAGTGCTAAGATTCAAATCTAGGGCTTCATGCATTTAAAGCAAGCATTCTCCTAACTGAGCTACATCCCCAGTTTCTGGATATAGGATTTTGTTAATACATAAGATCAAGTCATTGGATAAAGAGTTTTACATTTTTTTCTTTCCAATCTATTTTACATTTGCTTATCTGTGTGTATGTGCATTATGGGCTCATTCATGGGGAGATCAGAGTTGGTTCTCTCCTTCCACCACGGGATTCCAAGGGTTGAACTCAAGTCATCAGGCTTGGCAGCAAACATCTTTACCTGATGAGCCATCTGGCCAGACCTTGTTTCTGATCTTACAGAGAAAGTGTTTTCCCACTCAACATTATATATGATGTTAATGGTGTCATTTTCATAGATGCTCTTTATCTTTCTGAGAAAGCTCCCTTCTACGCCTAATTTGTTGAGTGTACGCACTATTAAAATGACACAGAATTGTACAAGTTTATGATGTACAACATGATATTCTGATACATATTTACATTGTCTAATGACCATATCAGATTAATATCTGAGTAGTTATCTGTCATACCAAACATTTATCAATTGTCTGTGGTGAAACAGTAAGATTTTAATAATTTAACCTTCTAGGCTAAGAACACTAAGCCCAACTTGATTGACCCCATATTTCCCCATGTGGTCAGTCATGGCTCACCATGTTCTTTCCTCCTCAGATCTGTGAGTATGGCAATTTTTTCATATTTTATTTACTGGCTCCATCACATTTGAATAATAAAACCTACATTTAAAAATAATCTTATCCTAGGGGAAAATATTTTTTAAAAAATCTTTACTGGAGCTGGAGAGATGGTTCAGCAGTTAAGAGCACTGGCTGTTCTTGCAGAGGACCTGGGTTCAGTTCCCAGCACCTACATGGCAGTTAACAACCATCTATATCTCTATTTCCGGGGGATCTGAAGCCCTCTCTGACCTTCGTGGACATTGCATGCATGAGTATACTTACATACATGCATGCAAAACACTCATATACTTAAAAAATAAATTTTAAAAATTAAAATAATCTCTTCCTTGTACTTGCTTCTTTCAACTTAGTTTGTTTCTTAAGACAGAAGGTTAGGCTATTAGTTTAATATTCTTGTCTTCAGTATTAAACTGCTTTAGCTGTATCAAATGTTTATTGTGCAGTTATTTTAGGTTCATCTCAATATTGGGCTTCAGGAGATGGCTCAGTGGTTAAGAGTGCTTGTTGTACACACAAGGACCTCAGTTCAGATTTTCAGCACCCATATTAAAAAGCCAGGTACAACTGTATGCATCTATAATCCCAGTGCTAGCGTGGGGGTAGAGGAAGACAGGATAGACTGTCAGACTTGTTAGCAGACAGCCTAACCAAAAAAATGCAGAGCTTGATTCACTGAGAGACCCCTGCCTCAAGAGAATAAGGTAGAAAGAAGACAACTGGGCTACTTCCTCTTGCCTCTACACCTGCACACATACATGTACATACACATATACAATTACACAAACACAAATTTTCTATTTTCCTTGTAATTTTCATCTTTGACATTTATATTTAGAAGTAGATTCTTTAATTCCACATATTTGTGAATTTCCCAAATTTTCTTCTATAAATTATTTCTTTTCTTCCTTTTTTTTTTTTTTTTTTTTTTTTTTTTTTTTTTTTTTTTTTTTTTTTTAATTTTCTGTTGTCTTGTTTTCTTATAGGACTTCCCTCTTTTTTTTTTTTTTTTTTGTTTGTTTTTGCTTTGTTTTTTTCTCTGAAGTTCCAGTTGGTCTGGATCTCATAGAGATCTGCCTGCCTCTATCTCCCAAGTACTGGGACTAAAGGCATGTGCCACCATGTCCAGCATCATTTCTGATTTTATTATATTACTAAGTCTTGATTGAAACATAGAGCAAAATGCTACAAAATCTTAGATTTGGGGTTAGGGAGGGCAACACAGGCCAGGGCCTTGCATGTCAGGGGAAAGAGAAAAGGAAAAAAATAAAATAAAAATTAAAGAATCCTAGACTTGGATGAATTCTCTATAATAAAGAGCATCTATTAACCATCTCTTCTAATTCCATCCCATATGATATTTAAAAACAATTTTTTCAATAGATTTTGAAATAGGAAGCAAATTGAGAAAGGTTAGAACTATGGGAAAAATTATTTATACTCTGAATTTAGACAGCAATTTACACATCATAGAACTTTAAAAATACCTTAAATATTAACTCTAACATAGAAACAAAGTAATAAACTGGTAAAACAAAAATACCTGATAGGTGTTGTCAAAACTGTCATACATGAATCTGGTGATCAAAGATGTCTTTCCAACTGAAATAAAAAGAGAGATTTGCTCAGTGAACATATGAAATACATTGGTTTCTCAGAGAATTGCAATTAAACTGAGTGGAAAATACATGCAATAGTTTTATCCCAAATTTTCTGACATGACTTTCTCAGTAACAGATAATAATCTCTTCAAATTAAAGGCACAGGTAAAGCTAGAGAATTTAGCTAAATAAAAGTTGAGGAAAGTGGGGCATGGTGGCGCATGACTTTAGCCCCAGTACTTGAGAAGTAGAGACAGGTGGATCTCTGTGCGTGTAAGACCAACCTGGTCTACGTAGTGAGTTCCAGGGAGACCCAGTCTCAAAAAGACCCAAAAAAAAAAAAAAAAAAAAAAAAAAAAAAGTTGAGGAAGATGAAGAGATAGAACTCAGCAAAACAAGTATGTTGCTATCCTAAATTTGTAAATGCCAAAGCTGGTATTTACTTAGGCTCTAACAAAAAGAACTCATGGAGGTTCAGATTCACTTCATTTAGTGAATCAAGCATAATCCATAGGAATAAAAAAACAGAAACATGTCTGGAAAAGATGCAAATAATTTTTGTCACATAAAATAGATCATCTCAAAGATTTATAACCTATTAGACATGAAACAATTTTAATAAAATCAAATGGCAAGCTCATCATTAAAAAAAAAAAAGAGTACTAAAGGTATTAGGGCTATAAGAACTACACTTTAAAAACAGAAGGGGCTGGAGAGACAGCTCAGAGGTTATGAGCACTGGCTACTCTTGTAGAGTACCCATATGGGAGCTAACAACCATCTATCCAGTTGCAGGGGATCTGATGTCTTCTTCTGCCCTCCCCAGTGGGCACAGCGCATACAGGTGCACTTGTATGCATTCAGGCAAAACACTCACATGCACCTTTTAAAAAAAAAAAAAAGAAAGGCAAGAAAAGAAAAGAAAAGTAACAGGTGAGGCTGCTCCGAAATTCATCTCAAGCTCAGACCAGTTAGGCCTGGCATATTCTGCTTTACTTGTAATGGCATTCCAAAGACCTACAGTTCTACCTTTTACTATTAGCCCAGGCTGGTGTTAAACTTACTTTGTACCTACAAACTAGCTTCAAGTTTGTGGTCATTCTCCTGCCTTAGTCTCAAGTGTTGGGATTACAAGCATGTGACCATGCCTGGCCACAATTCTACTTTGCATTGTTATTTTAAAGAAAGCGCCACTAGGCTGAAATGGTGGAATACAGGCAATTTCCTTACTAATGAATGTGTGCATTCTCCAAAAACAAGAACCACATCTAATTATTTTTCTATTTCTCCAGTCTCTTCACATAGGTTCTAATTACAAAACAAATACAAAAAAACTCCTCAAATGCTTCCCAAAATGTAAACACTGTGCAAGAGGATAAAAGCCACATCTAGCTGTTTATATTTTAATATGGATTTAAATAAGATTTTTTTAAGAGACTTATTTTATTTTTAATTATATGTATGTGTACTGGGGTAGGGTATGCATGTGAGGACAGGTACCCGCAGGGGTCAGAGGCACCAATTTTCTTGGAGATACAAGTGAGCTAGCTAACATAGGTGCTGAGAACTGAACTCTGTGCCTCTGCAAAACAGTGTGTACTCTTAACCACTGAATCATCTCTCAACAGCCCCCTCCCTTTTTTTGTCTTTTTGAGACAAGGTCTCCCTGTAGCCCCAGATGGCCTGGAACTCACTATGTAGACCAGAACTCACAGAGATCTGCCTGCCTCTGCCTCCCGAGTCCTGGGACTACAGACATGCACCATACTACACCCGGCCCAAGCACAATACAATTTTTAGAGAACAGATCTTCACTTCTATAGCTGCCTCTTCTCATATGCTATATGAAAAGCTGAAGAAAAAAAAAAGCTTTTCAGAAAAGGTAAAAAAAATTTTTTTTAAAAAAACAGCATGGGGCTGGAGAGATGGCTCGTAGATAAAGAGCACTGGCTGTTCTCGCAGAGGACCTGGGTTTGGTTCCCAGCACCCACATGGTTCTAACCACCTGTAACTCCAGTTCCAGGCAACCCACCACCCTCTTCTGGCCTCGAAGGACACTGCATGCATACGGTGCACTTGCATACATTCAAGCAAGGCACTCATACACATAAATTAAAAAAAAAAAATAGGTGCGGTATGATGGTGCATGCCTTTGATCCCAGAACTTGGGAGGCGGAGGCAGGTGGATCTCTGTGTGTTCAAGGCCAGCCTGCCTGCTCTACATAGCAAGTTCCAGGCCAGCTGGGGCTACAGGGAGACCCTGTCTCAAACACACCAAAAACATTAAAAATAAATAAATAAATAAATAAATAAATAAATAAAATAATAATAACAGAAGTAAACCTAAAGTTAATTTCAGGCTAGTGTGGACTACTTAGTGAGGACTGGGCAAGCCTGCTAGAGTGAGAAACTGCCTCAAGAAAAATAAAAACAAATATTCCTTAATAGAACTTGTAAGACCTCTACACTGAATATATCAGAACACTCTATGAGAAAAATCAAGACAATCTAAGCAAATGGAAGGATATACCATATACCTGACAAGAATCAGGATTAAAATGATACCCAAAATTATAATTAATAATAGCCTTCTGAAAACAGGTTAACAACCAATTCTAAAGTATATTTACTTAGAAACACAAAGAAACCAGAATTAAAACAATCTTGAAGCAGTGAACAACCTCAAAATTGACTATGAAACTATCAGAATCCAGTCTCTGATACAGGCTTAAAAACAGAAACAGTATCAATGGAACATAACGGAGTCCAGAAATAGATAAAAATCTCTAGACAGTTGAACAAACATCTCTATCCCTCTGAGACCAAAATTCTTATTTCCTCTGACTTACTCTTCCAAAAGGGCCAAAGAATAATTTTTTATAGTTTGTTCCATCACAGCCCCTCAAAGATTATAAATTAAGATTTTTTAAAGTACCTACAGCTTAAACCATTTCCCCCAAATGAAATAACAGGGTTTTACTCCCAATTTTGATAGTGTTGTATATATTTTTGGCAAAATAAACTTTTAATTCTTACCCTTTACAGAATTGGTGAAGCAAAAATTTAATTGTTTTCTGCTAATTTTTATTTAAGGAAGACCTTTGGGGTGAATGTGGTGGTGCACACCTGTAATCTCAGCAGTCAGAAGACTAGGGAAGGAGTTAGTGGCCAGTCTGATGGTACAGAGGGATACCCTGAGACCCTTATCTTTAAAAAAAAAAAAAGGAGGGGGGAATCCTGTAAGAGAAAAAGGTCATTAGGTTATAATAAAGAAATTTGAAAAAAGTATGGATTTTATTTAATAATAATGTAAATACACTATAATCAATGAAAACTCTGGGGGGCGGTTCTAGCATAGGTTTATGGAAATACTACACAGTAACCTCTACAGTCTCAGTTCTGTATATTTAAACTACTCAAAAATTTTATTTTTAAAAAATATTTTATTATTTTTATTTTATGTGTATGAGTGTATTGCCTGCATGTGAGTGCACCCATGTCAATGCCACGGGTGCACTCACATACATGCAGGCAATACACTCAAACACATTAAAATAAAAAAGAAATTCAATATTCATATAGTCTTTTTAAAAATTGTTATTTTTAATTTTTTTTATGTATTGCCTGCATGTAGGTAAATGTACCCATGTCGTGCAATGCCCACAGAGGTCAGAAGAGGCTGTCAGATCCCCTCGAACTGGAGTTACAGATAGTTGTTAGCTGCCATGTGAGTGGGATACGAACCTGGGTCTTCTGCAAGAATCACCAGTGTTCTTAACCACTGAGCCATCTCTCCAGCCCCCTATATAGCCTTTTTTTTTTTAAAAAAAAAAAAAAAAAAGGTAGATTGGTAGTTTCCTTAGACCAAACAAGGAAGGAATATTTTAGAAATGGTGGAATTTTTTAAATTTAATTATTTTATTATTTAAAATATTTTATTATTTTTACTTTATGTGTATGTGTTTACTGCCTGCATGTATGTAAGTGTACCATATTTGTGCAATGCCCATGGAAATCAAAAGAGGGCATCAGATCACTTGGAACTGGAGTTGTCTCTCCAGCCCAAGTTTTATTTTATTTTATGTTATGAGTGTTTTGCCTCCATGTACATAAGTGCATCCAGGTTGTGCAATGCCTGTGGAGGCCGGAAGAGGGCGTGGGATCTCCTAGAACTGGAGTTGTGGACAGCTGTTAGGTGCTATGTAGGTGCTGATAACTGAACTTGGGTCCTTTGCAAGAACAGTAAGTGCTCGTAACTGTTGAGCCATCTCTCCAGCCCCAAATGATGGAAATTTTATATGAACTGTACACTTAAAATAGATGTAATTTATGAGAATGTCATCCTTTCAGAAAAGTGGTAAGAAAAGCTGGAGGAAAAAAAGATGCTCACAAAATAGCCTCAATAAGACAGACATCATAGGTTTCATTTAAATGAAGTTTCAAGTCAACAGTATTGAACCCCTAAAAACATCCAAACTTGCCAGGGGTGGTGGCACACTCCTTTAATCCCAGAACTCGGGAGGCAGAGGCAGGAGAATCTGAGTTCCAGCCCAGCCTGGTCTACATAGTGAGTTTCAGGACAGCTGGGGCTACAGGGAGACCCTGTCTCAAAAAGACCAAGAAAAAAAAAACAAAACCAAATTCTAGGACAGTGGTATCTCAGGTTTCTTGGTCATAAGGAGAAATATACCCAGACTCAAAGAACAAAGGGCTGAGGATGTAGCTCAGTGGTAGAGCAACTGCAGAGCATACACAAGGCATCACACTGAGTTCTAGGCAGGCTGGGATCATGGAGACCTGCCAAAACAACAACAACAAAAGTATAAATAAAAACGTTCTTGCTGGGTATGGTGGCCCATACCTTTAATCCCAGCACTCAGGAGATAGATCAAGACCAGCTAGTCTACATAGTGAGTTCCAGGTAAGCTGTGGCTACAGAGAGAGATCCTGTTTCAAAATGATGAAGACAAAAGATTGGGGGGCTGGAGAGCTGCCACAACA